CAGTCCTAAATCCAGTCCCTAGATCAGTTCAAAGGTCAGTTGAACGGTCAGTTCAAAAGTCAGTAAATCAGTCAATAGATCCAGTCCCTGGATCTATTCAGCAGTCAGTAAATTAGTCAGGTCAGTACCGAAATCAGTCGAAAGGTCAGTTCCTAGATCAGTTCAAAAGTCAGTCGCTAGATCAGTTCAAAGTCAGTAAATCAGTCCTAAATCCAGTCCCTAGATCAGTTCAAAGGTCAGTTGAACGGTCAGTTCAAAAGTCAGTAAATCAGTCAATAGATCCAGTCCCTGGATCTGTTCAGCAGTCAGTAAATTAGTCAGTAAATCTGGATCAACGATTAGTCAGGTCAGTACCGAAATCAGTCCCCAAATCAGTTCATAGGTTAGTTGAATAGTCAGATCAGTCCCTAGATCAGTTCGAAGTAAGTAAATAGATCTATAGATTCGTCAGTAAATCAGTCCTAGATCCAGTCCTGAATCCAGTCCCTGGATCAGTTCAAAAGTCAGTTCAACGGTCAGTTCAACAGTCAGTCAAATAGTCAGTAGATCAGTCCCTAGATCGGTTCAGCAGTCAGTAAATCAGTCCCTGGATTAGTTTTTATATCAGTTCAATCGTTAGATCAGTCCCTAGATGAATGCGACGTCAGTAAATTGGTCCCTGGTCCAGTCCCCAGATGCAATCAATACTTATCTAATAAATCAGTCGCCAATTTGATTGAATATTCAATTGAATAATCAGTTCAACAGTCAGTTGGAAAGTCAGTTCGAAAGTCAGTTCGAAAGTCAGTTCGAAAGTCAGTTCGAAAGTCGGTTCAAAAGTCGGTTCAAAAGTCGGTTCAAAAGTCGGTTGAAAAGTAGGTTGAAAAAGTAGGTAGGTGGGTAGGTTCAAAAGTAGGTAGGTTCGTAGGTAGGTAAATCAGTTCAATCGAAAGATCAGTCGAATCGAAGCTTAGGTAATCAGCTGAAGGGGATGCACCCAATCAGAGACGCGGATGAATTTAAGGTTTTGCCAAGGCTTGGCAACGCGCTAGAGAAGATTTGAGCCAATCAGGTGCGCAAGATCTCTTATCAATTACTTATCAGTTTCTTATCAATTACTTATCAGTTTCTTATCAATTACCTTATCAATTTCCCATAATAATTTCCAAAGTTTCAGCGTAAAAATGTCCTTCGGACGGATAATAAATTATTTTAAAAATATTTTATAATATATTAATTAAATTAAAATTTTAATTTTTTTTTTTATATTACGTGGTTTATTATTAAAATAAAATATAAATTAATAAATAATTTAATTAATAAATGTTTTAAATTTACGATTAATTTTTTTAACGGTTAATAAATTAATTAATAAATTATTTATAATAAAAAATAATTTAATTAAAAAAAAAAAAATTATACGTTTATTAAAAGTTAAAATATTTTAATATTAAAATTAATAAAACTTTAAATTTAAATTAACCGTAATTAATAAAGCGTTTTTAAAAAGGTTAAAAGGGTGATTAAAGTGGGCCTGCCGAGCTGTAAAATTGTCAGAAGAAAGCGGTATAAAGAATGAAAAAAACGGAAGAAGAATACTTGTCTTTGAATGGTGGATTTCTAAACTCACCTGTAAGGATAATTTCAAGGACCGAATTCCCCATGTTCTTTTAAGGTTCCACCGCTCGTGCGGGGTTGACCTTACCAGAGCTTACCCCTTTCCGGTATGGTCCAGCGAGCCTTAAATTGCTTGGCAAGGGTACCTAGATCCTTCAAGGCTTCCCCGCGCTTTGCCGTCCTTTCATCATGATTCTCGCCTTTCATCGGGACGCGCTCAGCTGACCATACGTTAATGGTAATTATAAAATCAATCTAGATCAGCTGAGTAGGTAATAGTTTGTAAGGGGTACTTTGAAGCTTCAAGGTTATTCATACCTATGTAGGTCTTGAAGTTCGTCTATTGTAGTTGAGGTTGTGATATTTTCTATAGAACATAGAGGAGTGTTCTAGGAAACATGAGAATGAAATTGAAATAACTGTTTCTGGATCATACATTTGGCCTAGTGGCAAAGGTCAAGGTCAAACATGTTTGTTGAACAATAGCCAGACGATTCCGTATCATCAATCCGTTGCGACGGAGTACCGGGTGAAATCAATATAGATTTATTCCCGAGTCTCTCGGAATAATTGTTTGTTAAGTCTAGGGAGGTAATTTTGAAACATTTAACCCATGCTGTATTCTTAGACATGAAGCCACCCATGGATGTTTGTACTCGATCTTGTCTCCCTACTGATCAACAATTGTAGTTGTAAACTCATGTTTTAGAAAGATAATATTGTAAGGACCTTCACGTCCATTGAAACGATCATTGTATTGAATGCTGATGATAAGTAACCTGTACTCCGCCTGTACTACTAAACTATACACATTCATCCGTCATACTCGTCCTCAGTCGATAACATGCTTATACCTCGACAAGGTTCTCCTCCTGGGCGCCATCCGTGTCCTTGACACCCTTATCATTCTTCTCCTTGCCCTTGCCCTTTCGGTCTGCAGCGGATCGTTGGTAGTACTCTTGGATAATCTTGGCGGGGATACGGTTGAGTAGTTCCTTAGGGAAGATACGTAGGAGACTCCATGCGATGTCTAGCGAATCGAAGATACTTCGCTGTTCATATGCGCCTTGGGCGACGAATTGTCGCTCAAACTTCTCCAAAAATTCAAGGGACAATTTATCTTCAGCCGACAAAGCTTCCTCACCAACGACAGCCTTCATAGCCGCGGCATCACGACCAATGGCATATTTGGCATATAGCTGGTTGGAAACATCACCATGGTCCTTTCGGGTCATTCCCTCACCAATGGCAGACTTCATGAGACGAGAGAGAGACGGCAGCACGTTGATTGGTGGGTAGATACCACGGTTGTAGAGCTGACGATCAACGAAAATCTGACCCTCAGTAATGTAGCCCGTCAAATCAGGGATAGGATGCGTAATGTCATCGTTCGGCATCGTTAGGATAGGGATCTGAGTGATGGAACCGTTTCGTCCCTCAACACGACCAGCTCGTTCGTAAATGGTTGACAAATCAGTGTACATGTAACCGGGGAAACCACGTCGACCAGGCACTTCTTCTCGGGCGGCAGAAACTTCTCGAAGGGCATCGCAGTATGCGGACAAATCGGTAAGAATGACTAAGACGTGCTTCTCGAGTTGGTAGGCGTAGTACTCGGCGGTAGTAAGAGCAAGACGAGGGGTAATAATACGTTCGATCCTATATATTGTTAGCCGCATATTTTATGAAACAAAAGGGAAGGCCATCATACGTAGGGTCGTTTGCAAGATTAAGGAAGAGAGTAACACGTTCCAAACTGCCGTTCTCTTCGAAATCGCGAGTGAAGAATCGGGCAGTTTCCAAGTTGACACCCATCGCAGCGAACACGATAGAGAAATTCTCCTCGTGGTCATCATGCACACCCTTGTTCGTAGCGCCCTTTTGCTTGACCAAGCCAGCTTGTCGGCAAATCTGAGCAGCGATTTCGTTGTGAGGTAAACCGGCGGCGGAGAAGATTGGAATCTTTTGGCCTCGGGCAATCGAGTTCATGGTGTCGATAGTCGAGATACCGGTCGAGATCATCTCTTCGGGATAGACCTACTTGATAATTAGTCGGAATGTCGTTTATTCTTAATGTAGAGACACGTACTCTCGAGTAGGGGTTGATAGGGCTACCGTTGATGTCGAGGTAGTCCTCGGCCAGCACCTTTGGTCCTTTGTCGATAGCTCTACCAGATCCATCGAAGATACGCCCCAGCATATCTTCAGATACACCCAGCTTCAAGCTTTCTCCGGTGAACTCGACTTTCGTTTTCTTGACATCGATACCTGATGTGCCTTCGAAAACTTGAACGACCGCACGGTTGCCTATAGTAGGGAAATCCAGTTAGGAGCTGTAGAAGATGCTGCATTTAGCTTTTATATCGCTCACCTCGAGCCTCGAGGACTTGTCCAGACCTCTCAGTTCCATCGGGAAGTGTGAGGGTGACGATTTCGTTATAACGAGGGAATTTGACGTTGTCTAATATAACCAAAGGTCCATTGACACCGCCGACGGTGTTGTACCGAATCCTCGGCACGATGGAATAAGAGGAAGATTCTCGAGGGTCGGACATGATGTCCCAAAATACAAGCGAAAGCGGTCCAAAGGTATGGTCGAGGGTTTGAGTGTTGCTCCTCCTAATGAAGTAGCCCAATTATTTGCTATAGAGCAACGTTATCTAGCTCCAGCCACTGTTGACGTTGGATTGCAGAGGGAAGCTCCTAAAATCGGGTCCGTTGCAGAAGCTACAATAACCTGGAAGATGGCGCAGTAAAAGGTGGGGGTAATAATAGCCACATTTGGTAAGTCACATGATTACATAACAGAGCATGTGGTCTGTGCAAACTGGAGTACCTAGGTGGACTCGACAACATAGGTACATTTAGAAAGTTATCAGGTTTAACAACACATTAACTAAACAGCAAGCTATTTATACTCATAATACATTAGAAAACAATCTCTAATTTATTTTAATCATATTTCGACTGTTTGACATTCATGTAGACTTATAGGGACCTATTGAGTAAAGCGTCAATCGGAAGTTGCTACGTTGAGCTAAGGATGCTCTTGTCATATCAGCATATTCAGAGGAGTAAGGAGCTACCTATCATTCTGTTAGGTAACATCTCTCTCATATGAAAGTATAATAATTAAAACTGTTCATGAAAGAGTCTTCCAATTTAGTGTTTCCATTGCACTTTAACCATCATGCACTTATTATAGGTGCGATACTTGGGAAATACCCAACGAGCTAATTCAATGATCGCTTCCATCAAGAGTTTATGCCGCTATCATGACATGATAGCTCATTTGGCCCTCGCAGATTCAACTTAAATACTCGCAGAACAATAGCAATATGAGTACCTCATTGCCGGCACCCCCTAAACACAAACCGATTCAGTGTGGGGGTGAATGCTACTGTGCTATTTGTGGCGTTCCGTTTGGGGGCTATATTTACCAAAATAATAACCAAGTTAGAGGTCGACAACCGTGTCCGACTCTCAAGGGAGCCAAAATTGGCTATAATCCGAGAAATTTGGGTGGATGGGATAAAACTGCTTGGGTCAGAGGGATATACTTTGTAGGCTATCTTCCCGACGAAGACGAGTGAGTATTAACGGTCTTAAAAGTATATTTCGAGTAAGTAGCTAAAATTTCCAGAACAATTATGTCCGGAAAGGCAAGACTCGTGGCCGAAGGGGTGATCGAACTGTACCCCGATGATAAACGAAACGAAACCATACCTTCAGAGTACGATTATGAGTGCTACAGGCTCAGCGAGGATAAAATAACCGTACACCCGTTTCACTGGCCATGCCTCGAAATATTGGCACGAATTCTGAATCCAAAAGCTGTCGATCCGGTTCTCCATATAGACGCAAGCGAGCTTGACTCAAGTTTCTCCTCTTTGTCAAATAGTTATACCGGGTTGGAACTCCTCACCGGCGCAAATAAACGGCACGGAAAGCCTTAGAAAAGCTTAGAAAGTGAAGAGTATTTCGTCGCGAATCCGTCGCGTTCAGCTGAGCTAACGTTCCTGGTGGGATCCATTATGGCGGGCGTGTATTTCAAAAGACCAAGTTGGATTGTAGACTTCAGCTCCAAAGTAAGACATGACCCTTTTGGGAAGCTGCCATTTACCGCTATTTGCAAAATCCTCCATCAACTCCCCGCCGAATGCTTGCTTGATGTACTCAAGGCTTCTTGGACACTTCATTCCCTGGTTCACGGTAGACATTCGTTTTGGAAGAATGCTCTCGAAAAGAACATGCCCTGGTTTCCCGAAGTGCCAGAACTTATGCGCATAGGCGCGTTGCGGCGAGAAGAACACTACAAGGGAATATACCTCTGGGCGGAAAGGAACATTTGGCCACGAAAAGGTGTTCCAAAGATTCTGATGAATATCGCAAACCGCCGACGGATTTGGACCGTAAGCGAAGTAATCGCCGATATTTACTTGGGACGTTTTGGGCAAAGAATAATTTCTTGGGGTGACGAGGAAGAGGAGGAAGAAGAAGAGCTGTAATAACGGATTGTTGCATTATTCGTTCTAGAAAATAGAAATGCATTAATACAGCCATCACGTGATCTCAGTTATGACTTCATAACCCCGATTTGCAGCTATGAGCTAGAGCCAGTAATAGCCGAGCTCCTCTTACAACATTCGAGGGGCATTTCAAAGCCGAAGAAAGTAAGAGAACGGCAATTAAGAGCTTAAACCATCGAAATGAATAGAAGATGGCGTCGGTGCGCCCCATGATTCGATTGGCTCGCTGCCGGCCTGTTCCAGCAGCTTCCCGCATTCGACGATGCTTTGCGACAGCTTCCGACGTGAAAAACCCGGCCGCCGCACCTCGTCCCGATAACCGAGTGAGGATCGTAGAAGTCGGTCCAAGAGATGGACTACAAAACGAGAAGAAGTCGATCCCGTTAGCTACTAAGATCGAATTAGTCGAAAGACTGGCGAAGACTGGAGTATCTTTCATAGAAGCTGGGTCTTTCGTCTCTCCAAAATGGGTACCCCAAGTTAGTCTTCCCGGATTGTGAACCACGAATAATGCGCAAGAGTCAAAGCTAACCCGAAGATTCGCTCTAGATGGATAACTCCAGCGCAATCCTCGAACATATCCTCACCAACAAAATCGCCTCGCCCATCCCAATCACATACTCCTTCCTCGCGCCCAACGCAAAGGGCGTGGAAAACGCTTCTGCCCTCCTCAAACAACACCCAGGAACCTACCTCACACAAGCACAATCCCTCGAAGGCGTAAGCGCCAAACCCGCAGTCGAACTCGCCGTATTCGCCGCCGCAACCGAGAGCTTCTCGCAGAAGAACCTCAACACCGACATCGCGACCTCTCTCGAAAACTTCCGCAGCGTAATCCAAAGCGCCAAGGGGCTCGGCCTCCGCGCGCGCGCGTACATCAGCGTCGTGCTAGGGTGTCCGTTCGAAGGGTACGACGTCGACCCGCACAAGGTCGCGGAGATCGCGACGTCGCTGCTCGAGATGGGCGCTGACGAGATCTCGCTCGGCGACACCACGGGCATGGGAACCGCGCCCAGGGTCCAGGAGCTGCTGCGCTGCATGGCGGCGGCGGGGATCCGCAAGGAGGATATCGCGATGCATTTCCATGATACGTACGGCCAGGCGTTGGTTAACACGGCTATTTCGCTCGAGCACGGGATCAGGACTTTTGATAGTGCGGTTGGCGGGCTGGGCGGGTGTCCGTATAGTCCGGGGGCCACTGGGAATGTGGCGACGGAGAATATGGTTTATTTTGTCGAGAGTTTGGGCATGGAGACGGGTATTGATCTGGATGCTATGGCGGATATTGGGCAGTGGATCTCGGGGGAGCTGGGCAGGTTGAATGATTCAGCTGTTGGGAAGGCGGTGCTTGGGGCTCGTAAAATAGGGGTTGATGCGTCGTAGTGGTTGTATGGGGTAACGGAAATAAATATTATATGTAGGTAGGTACTAGGTATGTATTTGCCCATGCGAGGCGATGAGATATATCTTATGGGTTATCGTGGCCTCTCCTTTTTACTGAAAAAGTCACCTAGTTCGTATATCTCCTCATAAAATCGTATTCATAGATTGAGGCCATTCATACACTGCAGGTACGTATCTCGAAAGGGTTAGCCAGGCTTTCAACCCGAATATAAGAAGAATTTTTCGTAGGTCTCGCATTCAGAAGAACCGGGATTGAGGATTTTGCTCTTTTTTTCTCCTCCCTTGTTATTTCAGTTTTTTACGACGAGTGTCACATTCACCGCTTCACGACATGCTACTAGATATTAAATTAAAATTCATTAAGACACCATCCCCCAGAACAAGGATTTAACCCAAGGAATACTAGCAATTCGAGATTGCGCTTTTTGTCCTTTTCTACTTAAGCTAATAAGTGGAGCTAGTAAATATGTTATTCGGGTCTTTTCTGCTACCCACCTAGTTTTAGATACTCTTTCGCTTCTATCAAGGACTGCGCCGGGAGATACAATGTAGGTAGTCCAGAATCAGCTGTGCCTGAGACCCGGTATTCTTAGGTTTATATCCCTCACTTGGAGATATGACTTGCATCGTCAAGTGTTGCTCAAGACCAACAGAGTTGTCGGGCTCTGTCAAGGGTCCATACTCGTTCGTATGTATCTAGGTATCTTCAGTAGTACATAGAGAATTTGCCACTGCCAGTACAAGGCGTTGGTGACTGCCACATCTTAGAAGTGAGATTGGCGTTGAGTTAAGTTTACGTGAAGTTGTATTCTGCAAAGGTCCTGGCGAAGAAAAGGAGATACAGAGGAAGCTGAGCGTTTTGAATAATTCCCGTAGCGAGACGTGAGGTCGAGGATAAAGATCGCTGCTTCTGCCTCGAAGAATGTTAAGCCAGAAGTCTTGGGCATACAGAGGTTCGTGCGATGCCTGGGTTGCATAGCATGTAAGCATCACGAAAATGTATCTACGAGGTAAGTGGGGAGTAGCTGATAGACTTATATGAGATATGTACGCACTCATTCGCGATGACGACTTTTCTTCTACTCCACCTAGGTAGGTATGTAGGTATTGTACGTGACTTGAATTATGCTGCAGCTTGGCGTTCGTGAATTCACTGGGAGGATCCTTGTCTACCTTCGATTCCAGCTCTGAAATTGGTTAAGAAGAAAAGAGAATTCTGTTGAGGATAAGTTTATATATATCATGCGGGTGCCACGTGTACCTAGAGAAGATAATTTCAAAATAATTGTGCATTTCATTTCCTACCTCCTGAGTAGGTACTAGGTAGGTACCTAATATATGTAGGTGGATAGGTATGTCTTCTCCCTTATTCTAACTCAAATTATCAAAAGTCATAAGTAATATTGGCTACCACCAAGCGGGAAACCTATCTATGTATGCTACAATTTCCCTCCTTTGCTTGTAAATGGGGGCTATGAAAGATGATTCTTATGTTTGGTCACACCTAAAAACATCTATAACTCAACCCCTAGTAGCCATAGTAAGATATCCATACATAAGATTAATTGCCTGCTATATAGCAATGGCAAGATCTCGTCGTATAACTCTTCCAAGGACTGCGTATTAAATGGCAATAAATCAAACATCACCACAGTCATAACCTACCTAGGTACTTACACTATACGACTATACGTAGCAAGTAGTACCATCACCTCAACATACAATACACTCTTTTAATACCTATAGGTAAACAGCACTATGTACAACCCGCCCGCAAAGCAAGCTAACATCAACAAGCAGGCACACGTCATAAACCATACCTCACAACCACACCCTCTAATAAAATACAATCATGTACACCCCCTCCCTCTCCCCTTCTCAACCAGGTATTTAACTCACCACACCATCCCCCTCCCTCCCCTTAACAACCCATCCCTAACACCTCCGACGCGACGTATTCGCCTCCTAACCGAACCGAATCGCACCATTCCTATCCCAAGTCCCACTGACAGCTCTCTTATCCTGCTGAGCAGCACTCCCCGCGCCATCCGCCCCAGGCGACGGGCTGGCGAACTTGATGCCCGCGCCGGGGTTCCAAACACCCTGCATAGGGTTCGCCCTCGGCGGCTGCGGCTGCGGCGCCACTGTCTCCGCGGCCGGCGCCCACGATTGGATGCGTGCTTCGGGGGGGCTTTGGACTTGTTGTCTAGGCTGGACGGGGGGCGACATGAATGAGTTCTGAGGCTGTTGTTGTTGCTGTCGTTGGGTCTGGTAGCTCGTGCCGTCGTCTAGACCGTATGAGGAAGAGCTAGCTGACGGGACTGGCTGCTGCATGTGGCTTTGCTGGCTGCCTAAGCTCAGGTTGCCCAGCGGCGGCATGTTTAGCTCGTCCTCGAGCAAGCGCGCCTCGTGTCTCCTGTCCGCTACAAAGTTCCGGGCGCCGTCTCGAAAACCACCTACTATACGGCTGAGATCGTTGTAGAACTTGCGCCCGGCCTCCGCGTTGCTAACCAACTCCTTATATTTGTAATATGCGTTCTCCAGCTTTTGAAGAGCCTGTTCCCTTTCTCTGTTACCCTTGTCGCCCACCATCTTCTTCTGGCTCTCGAATTCACGGTTTACTCTTATCAGTTCCGTGACAAGCTTCTCCTGTTCGGTGCCCTCTGCTTGCACGAGCTCGATATCGGGTTCGTAGCGCGAGTCTAGGCGTTTCTCGAAGAACTCTTCGAAGTGCGCAGGAACGATAGCGGTTGCTACTGCCTGGGAGCGCTCTAGACGTGCCGCTTCGGCTAGAATGTCGGACTTGATGTCGTCGCTGCGGGCTTTCTCACGAAGAACCTCGGCCTTTCGACGACGACGACCCTCAAGACGAGTTATATTATTATAAGCTGTGCGTAAACGGCCAATCGAAGGTTTGAGCGTTTCTGGAATTTCGGTGCGACGGGATGAGGGCACATAGTCCAATATGCCACGATCTGGACCATTGAGAACGGCCAAAGTGGGTTCAATGCCATGAAACTTGTCACGTACGACCGCGTCGCTGCTTTCGCTATTCGCAAACCACCCTTCTGCATCTTTCACCTGGTTCCAGAGTTTCAAACCTTGGTCAGGCTCAAAACGGCTTTCGGGTCGGGCCCATCGATCTGTGCCGTACTTCCTACGCAATTGAATATCTTCATCCTCTTCTGTTTGTAGTAGATTTTTTCCTTCCTCAAATACGGCTAAATCGGAAGCTCGCAGTTTATCAATATCCGCAAAGCTTCTCTGTAACCGATTTAAGGCATCCGCTTGACGAATTTCCTCGGCGTGTTGAACGAGTGTTCCTGGTAGACCAAGTGGCTTTTCAAAGGCCTGGAGTGAGCCGGGGAGGTTGAGTGATGATAAAATCTCATGAATCCTCTCGTTCAATGTTTCGAGTTTTTCGATAATGTTTTGGTTGACAAGACGATCCCTTCGTTCTTCGTAGATAGAGACGGCAATATGAACGGAATATGGAACAAGCTTCGTGAAGAGAGGGGGGCCGAACTCCCCCTTCTCACTCAGATAATCCAATGGTGCTGACACTTGTGGTGGTATTCGTGCGATTGCCATAGTGGCTCGATCTAAGATCTTGAGTTCTGGCTTTGGTGGTACTGGATCTATAGCAATAATTAGTCTTGAGATTATTCCATCGCAATGTTGTAAAGGGAGGCGTACTTAGATATATCACGTCGTTGTCTCTTTCCGCCCGCTTCAGATCTTCCTCTACTCTTCTCTTGAGTCCATTTAAGTCTTCCACTACTGCCTTGTGTAGGTAACCACCACGACTCTCCCTAAGTCCTTCCGTCACACACGCAACAGCATCGCGCAGTCTTGCTACCTCCTCACCGTACCTTCGCTTTTCGAGGCAATCACAGGCAGCGCGATATTGAGCAGCGGCAGCAAAGTGGTGGTGTTTCGCACTCATATGGTGAATCCAACTACTACTTATGGCCTCCGACCTCATTGCTGCTTCACCCGCTTCATTGTATAGATCTGACACCTTGGCGGATAGCTTCGCGATCGATGCGTCTTTGTAGCCGTCCATAACGGCCTTCTGCCAAAAACACTCCTGAGCTTGAGCTAACTGCAGCTTTATCAACGAGTCTAATGTATGTTCGTCCATATCTTCCGGGGGAGTGGTTCGCAGTTCAGGTATAACATCATTCTTCAAGTGTGTCAAAATACCTGCCGATTGGCTGAAATAGCTCGCAGCGATTTTGAGTCCATCCGTGCTAGATCGATTGCCAGCTATGGCTAGCTGAGAGTATAACGCGGCGATATTGTAGAGGATATTGGAAAGTTCGAATTTTAGATTATTATGTACTATAGGTCGTTCGGTATTGTAACCCAAGGCAGGATACCACGTGAAGTCTGCGCCGATCTGATAGAGGGCTTTTGGTAAGTAAAGAGTTATGAAGGATGGTATGATCATATATTATACTAAGCAAACCAAGTCAAAGGAAACATACATCTATAGGAAACTTTCCACCGATCCAGACCAGCTGTCCAGCGTAGGCTTGCAATCTTGCGACGCCGCTAGGATGTGGCTCGCGCACGTTTACAGCGTCGCGCCTCAAAGCATCGATCACCTCAAGGTCTTGCCGAAACATATCCGGATGCTGGTCATATTTGGTAGATATGTACTGCCGGATAGCTGCCGACAGCGACAGCTGGGTTCCCTTGCGGAACGGAACGGCGAGAACGTTGGTTTGCATGGCGGACAAATGTATTGTAAAAGCAAGGATTAGGTAGAAACAACAACAAAAACGGCCACGTAAAAGAAAGTTGAGGTACGGATACGATTCCAAACCTTGTAGTAGGTAAATGACTTCATCCCGCCTGTCACAAGGAACTGGTCTTGTTTTGGGCTGTTGTTTCCTTAATTCGGTGGGGTGCGGGGCAGCTATTTCTGCTGTCGCGTGTACGTAATGGGTACTTGCTCCAATGCCTGTTATTGGCTGCGTGCCTGAGCTCTTTTTCTGTGACAGAACCTTGGAAACCTCTTGTCAATTCTGGTTCGTAACTCATTAACTTCAACGTTGTTAAGTTTCAACAATTGTTGATGGTAAGATTCTCCTGTGAACAGTTTAAAAATCTCTATATTTTTCTTTACGAGACGTTTGAATATGTATTCGGAAAATATATTAATACTAACCAACTACATGATAGGTTTACTAAGACCGAGAAATTGATCAACTATAGATCAAGTAGGTAGGTAGGTAGTAAAGTCTTCCATAAGTACATTCGTTCCGCGACAATAAAATTCATCACTCTTGCTTTCTTAATAAAATCACTACCCAGACTCATATAATCTTTTGGTCATGTTTTTTTTTTGGCCTATCTAAATATGTACAGCCGTAAGCGGCACATTCGCATACTTCGTCTCGAGCACTTCGATTCCGAGTCGGCGACGTCCTCCAGTACGGCGCATAATAACCACCACCATAAACCCCCAAGAAAAAGATCCACCAAAATTGCCAACCTGAAGTTCTTTTTTGCAATGAACACACTACATCATGTTCCCCGCTAGACATCTAATGCTCGTAACTCCCCTACCCGGTCAACAAATCTATGATACAAAAAGGGGCCCGGTGAATCGAATGTAGCTCACAAAAAGCGGGCTGGATATCCTCAGACGGCATACTGAGATGAAATAAAATGCCATTTGTAAATGCTGTGCACGACCATCACGATCGCCACTGACGCCAAGTTCGAAATGCTTCGTTAAGTAGAGTATGAAGTATGTCGTAGGTATATGGTTTCTCTGGCGAAACTAATCAAGGGGGTAGAAGGTGATGATAAAGGAAAAAAGGATCGACTGCGTTGAGAGTATTATGCATTATCGGGATCTTTCGACGGGTCGGTGCGGTAACCAGCGCTAATAAAATGTACAATCTGGACGCGGACGAGGCTGACAAAGACGGGCAGTTTGTCCAACGCCACGTCGGCCCGAGTAGTGCAAGAAGGTTATTCAACGTTCTATGATCAATAGTAGTGCAAGAATGCAAAACAATCAATCCGCTCCCATGAACGCAACCATTATGCAAAACGTTGAAATCATCATGTTAAGCTAACTTGGTTGATGCTCGGGAATTCGAAAGGGCCAGGAAGATAAATGTCGACTTGATGACGCCTGTGTAGGAGTGTTCGCGTTGTATCCATAACTAACTCCGGCACGGGTTTCCAAACCAGTCCTCTCCATCCAACATGAGTAGATGCATAAAACATCTCCCATTTCCTATTCCGTCGTCTAATATCGTTATATCATATCAAAAACGATGGCGCTGTCTCCTTACGGGATCCAAACAAGCTCTATTATACCGTCGAGCTGAGTCATTTGCTCGCCGTTTCGGTCAACCCATCTCCAGTCGTTGGCCTTTCGCACATAAGTATGACTGACCGTGTTATCTTCATTCACGCGCGCTTCCTGGAGGTCCCAGCTAATCTTGCGACCGGTCTTCAAAAGGCTAGGTCGCTGCGGGTCGAAAACGTAGTCCAAGTTCCACCCCTTATCCTGGGGCGCGGCAGCGAATGTCCGTTCCATCTGAGCAAGGTTGAAGTTGGTGCCCAGGGGGTACTGAGCAACACTAAATCCAGTCGAGATGATGTAGTTGTCACTTGTCTGGAATCGCTGAAGAGTGCAGTCTTCGCCACAAATGTGAGCGATCTTTGTGTATTCCCAGGGCAGGGCCGAGTGCCACCCGCCACCCTTGAAGTGGTGGAGAGAGATGGGCTTAACACCGGATTCGTAGAAACCAGACGGGTCTCCATATAGATCAAGCTGGTAAAGACCTCGAAGGATAGATAGACGCACATCGGTATTTTCGTAAATGCACTTGCGAAGAAGAATATCACCCTGAGGACCCCAACCCGAGTTTGATTCGTGAATCTTCTCGTCAGTCTTACAAGTCTCGTAATCCTTCGTAATCTGAGCTGCTAGTGGCACCGATAGGAAGACACCGGCACCACCAAATGCCTGTGATCCGTGACGATCAACGTTGTTGACGTCCTCAGATAGAGTGCCAATGTAAAGCATCTCATCGGGATCGTAGGACTCAAATTTCTTGGTTAGTGCGTGAACACTGGGGAAGAAGGTGTCATCGTCGCACGACACGAGCCACTTCTTGTTCACTCGTTCCGGGTGGTTATATAACGTCGGAATGAGAGTAAGGTAGCGAACGGCCATTTCCATAGACGAATCCGAATGGTAAACATCGACGTCAATTCCGGCGTGGTGCAGAATTGTTCTAGCGTGTAGAATCTGATCCTCGGTCGCGTCCAACAGTAACAGTACCAACTTGCCACCATTGGAATTTCCCTTGCCATCAGTCAACCAGTACGTCCATTCATTAACTGGGCTGGTCTTATCCGAGCTAAATCGCTTGAATGTGGTTGACACGCCGAACATAAAGTCGGTTAGATTACCGGTGGCGGGATACGGCGACTCGGAAACCGGAACTTGGAGAGGCTCGATACATTGTTCGCTTCCGTAGGTACTCGGATGTTGCAAATCAACCGTGGTGAAAGAATTGGGGAGGAATGGCTGGGTGAGCTTGGTGATCGACTTTCGAGCAATAGGCTGGCGGTTGATCTTGACATATCGCTTCAAATACTGGAAGGTGTCTCCGAGTTCATACTTGGCCTTCAACTCACCCATATGAGTAGAATTGACACTGCAGTCCATCACGTGGTTCGACACCGGGGCGATGTCCTTGTCGCTCGCTTGAGGAGCATCGCCCAGAGGTTGTTGCGGCACACTAGCCTTATTGTTGTGAGTAGAAGCGGCCTTCACTATTCTCGACCCAACATCCTCTATACGGTCGGACTTCCATGATATAGCTAGCAGCAATAACAGCGCGACGGCGAATAGGACGCATCTCGAGAAGGGGTTCCGCATACTAAAGAACCTCTGATGCGATGAGGCCATTTTTGCACCCATCGTCATTCCCTCAGTGACGTATATGTCAGGAGGGAACCTGGGAATTGTTAATTATAACCAGCGAGGGGTTGTTGTCGGTTTATCCAAAAAATTGTACGCCGACCGTCAAACTACTTGATGACGGTTATCAACGAATTCCGTGTCTGTTGTCTTGGCATGCGGCGCGACGGCTGACAATCTATGTCAGTGAAACTGCTCCTATTCGGAACGGATTGCTGACTATTCTAACAACCTCGACGTAATATGGTAACGAATGACGCCTCACACAAAAAAGGGAGGGAAAAGTTGTGACGAAGGTTGAAAGAAGGCGAAAGGCTCCGCACCCTTTGACGTGTAGGGCGCTTATCGAAGTGATAGAGCAAAGAAGGTGAAGGGTTTGAAGTTATTTTCCAGTGATGAAGGAAGAAAGACAAAACAAAGCGATGGGACGAGGAAGGAGGAATTCGACAGTAAAAAGGAAAAAAAGGAGAGATCAATCAAGGGAAGGGATGGATGGTACAATAGTACTATGTACTAGCCGTACATAAAAAAGTGAGAGAGCGAACGCTTGGAAGAGAAACAACCCAGACAACCCAGACAACCTTGGAAAGCTCGACAGGGGTGTCACTTCCGTACTACAAGCGGAAGCTAGTAGAGGGAATACCGCAGCGCATGTAGCAGGTACGCGAGTGCTAAATGGCCACAATGTAACGGGCGCGGGCGATTAGGGGTTTGATAAATTGGGGGTGCAGGGATTAGTATTAGATCCGTGGTCGGACAGGGGGTACCTTCGATACCTAGCACCAGTAGATGTCGTAGTATGCGTAGTATGCGGTACTTTCTCTTCGTGGTATAACCCTGGAGGGGGGGCAAACCGGAAACTGCAATGACAAGGAGAGATCAAGGAGAGAAGGAACTTGAAAGGCCAGGAAAAGAGAATAAGGAAGAGAAGCGGGACGAACTAAGAACCAATCAGGAATTGAACTTCCAAGAAGAGTAAAGAACCAATTGAAACTATGCGATCTAATGCGTTCCAACGGCTTTGATTGTTTTTTTTTAAGTCGCTAGGTACATAATAGCGCTGTAAGTTACAAAGTCGCTAAATTCGTCTCTCCCTATTACTCCCTACACTATATTCAGCGTTCAGAGTCCAGACTAAACTACAATGCATAGTAGTTTTATTACATACGCCGTTGACGACTTTACTAGGTTTGATACAGGTTTAGTTGGCGGCGGTATTCCTTCATTGGGTCGTTGTATAAATGAGAGTTAGTGGTGACATTGCGATCAATTGGTTTGATACGCGTAAATTACATAGGACATAAGAAACAAGCAGACAAGCCATGATCATGATTAACAGTGGCAGGCCTTTAACTTGCAACAGCTGCAACAGGGAAAGAGGGCAACAGGTACTTGGTCGGATGCTTTTTTGTACAGGCTGTATGTAGATCTTCGCAACCCACGAGTCAAATCGACGAAACGGCATGGGTTGCCAAATGATAAGTAATGCCAATGCAGATATGCAGTCAGTCTGTAGGAAACGCCGTATTAGTCGCTGATCAATGTTGACTATTTACTGTAAATACGTAAATACGGGAAGTTCTACATATCAGCATAGTAACGAGATTTAATGATCCAACGACCAAATAGTGGCTTAGGACATCTTGATTCTGGCATTATGCGCGCGTTGAAGGATGTACCTTGGACCTAGCCGTGCTAGGCGTGCTTGAATTCCACATTAGTCTATCGTACGCGGGTGTATACATATCGATCTCAGTGCACTGGCTTCATTGGCCGCACTGGCTGCATTGACGGATAATACCGTAACCTTACTGTCTATTTTCACTATGTACATCCTCACTTACATAAGGTGGTGGTAAAAAACTGGCCAAGTGGAGGGTGGGTTACTCAGGCTGATTTAAGAGAAATGCCGTCATCGTCATCTTTCCTTGGTAGGATTGTATTCGTTCTCCGATAATATGTACGAATTATGAGCGTGGCTGGCGGTACTTGTGGCGATCATTACGCCATGGGTTGCCTGTACGATTGTACTAAATTCCAACACGAAGGGAACAGTTATGAACTAGTAGTGTCTGAATTTAGAAGCGTCAGCATAACTGGCTGATAAAATATACGCATAGTACGTCAGTCAGGTCAGTCAGGTCAGTATGGCAAGTTGCTATGGTCACCGTATCTGCGTGTATCCATGTTATGTTATGTACTACAGTCTACAGTCTACAGTCTACAGATGCTACTGGCAGACTGGTGTGTGAATAAAACGCTGTTTATTTTCTATATGTAGATGCGTTTGGACTTTGTATCCCGACCCTCGCTACCACATGTTTGCTCTCTTTAAGATGCGGGAAGCTTGTCTAGAACTATTTGGAAAGAAGGTTACGCGTACCTTATTTCGCCCGAGTTTTTAATAGAACATTGGATGAGTTACTTGAGTTGAAGGTCTAGATACGAGCTTCGAAAAGCTTACTTTCATTACATATAAACTCTCTTTTCTAGATTCAATTCCAGACCTCGCGCACTATATTCCTTATCGTGCTGAACTTGCAGTGAAGCACTCTACTACTTAAATTCGATCTCGAACTAACTTGGTCGGGTATCCCTAGCAGCCTAGATGGGCTTTCCGTACTGAAGATCATTACGTCGTTTGTCTCTACAGCTTCCAACCCACCCGCCCCCCTTAACCATCGTTAGAGGAAAGCATTCGTAAGCTGTGGGGCCTTCGTTTCGAATGTCTCGCGCGGCGTCCTCTAGCTCGGCCAGACTTCTTTGATTACATCAATTCACTTGACCACCCTTCCTTTTCACTTGCTCTATTCTATTACCGATCATATTTATGTCTTAGGTCAGAGACGTGGCTTACGTATCAAGATGGACTCCCGGTGCCATCGATGAAGAGTTTGTCAACATTTTCAATCGCGAATATCACGATGACTAGGACACAGGTTGCGCCTCAGATGGGGAAGCGTTCCAAGGTTACTTTCTCGATTGAGACGGTCCTATCTCCGATGCTGCGGGATCCTACAAGGTAACCCGCTTTTAGACCCGATTTTAGAAAATTAAGAAATGAAAGATGAAATTCCAACTTTTTTCTTATTCGCCATCATGGTGGCACTGCCGCAGATCAGGGGGTCAATTCCGTCAACGAGTCCACTATCTCAGCGCCCACGAATTCCAAGATTACTAGGTACTAGGTACTAGGTACGCATGCCAACGGTAGGTACAACTTGGAACGATGACGATAGATCATAGGACGGCCAGGACGGGCTGACGAATGAACCATTCGATATTTCCCTTTTAGAGCGTGTTATCGTGAATATATCGACCACTGCTTTGTAAAAACTTCTAGACCTTCTAGAAGAGCCGCGACTTCATTACTCAATATCGACGAAGCTTATTTCCCTTTCGTCCCTACAACATCAAGAACAACAAGTTCGCTTGTTGGTGTAGAGCAGTAGCATGTGCCGCTTTTCCAGAGCTCTCAGGGCTACCAGACCGCCAGGGCACTATGTCCCGGTAATGATTAAAAGGCCTTGGCATCGGCAGCTCATCGAATTTCTATGGAGGAATCTTCCACGCCTAAACCCGTCGCAATGTGCCTAATAGATGGCTCAATTGCCGATGGATGACCATGATTGGTTAGTATTGACAAACCTCACAATTCTGTACGCATCCAGCCGCCGTGATATGTGCCTTGTGTGCTCTCCCAAACATCGTTGCAGTGCTTTTTTACGACCAACGGAGGGGATTTAAAGCACGAATAGGCAACGTGCCAGTTCGTCAAGATAAGCATAAGCATGTGGAGGATTCGGCTAAGAAGTTACTATTGGAATTATTATTAGACCAGCCTCGATCTTACATATTAGTTGAACCTGGAATCGTCCCAAATCCCAAAGAGGGCGCCATCCAGCGTTTGCTAATTAAGCTTCTGACGGAGGACAAGTGTAATGTTGGTCCTAGCGCACAGATTGTTACCATATGTTTGGTACTCTTCCGAATTTGCGATTGGTGTCAGCTTACACTACCACTCGATCGCTCGGCATCGAAGGTAGGACGACTTGGACCATTTTAATGACCACTTCAAAGGTTGCAGGTAGCCTTAGACTTGACCTGCCCTTTTTACGTTTAATAGGTACCTACCTAGTACCTACCGGTAATTGTGATACCTGGCCTTCTAGTCGCGTCGACGGGTTGGAGATCCCCACGATATCACCGAATATGTACCTAGGTATGTGGTGCAGTAGCAGACGCTACTCTCGGTCTTGTCACCGAGAACTTGTCATGTAAAAATCGGTTGGCTTATCTCAACGAAAAGTAACGGTGCATGTGGTGCATATTATCGGGCAGACCCAATGCATTTACTCGTCCGGAGTCATCTATCAGCCAGAGACGGAGCCTCAGGCACCGCTTCGCAGCTGTAGTGTCTCTAAAGTCATGTAAGATCGCCAATTCCGCCCCAGGTGCATCTCAGGGGGAACGCTACTATTGGATTTGACAGCTTGTCAACCGCCGACCGGGCTAACCGTTAGCAAGCAATGGGCTCTTTAGCATGTGTTTTGCGCACACATGGTAGGCGGCTGAACACCTAAAAGATCTACAACACCCCCGTACACCCCCATAAGCAATGGCGCCGCGGCTGTACAGCCGTCCTCTGACTGGCTGACGTTACTACCAAGAGCCTGAATATGAAACACGGAGGGGGTTTACTAACTAGGACCGACTCGGTGGGTTGAGGACGGGTCGATCTCTGATCCAACATCAGCAATAAAGAAATAGCTCTGTAGATCGGTCAGGCTCTTAACACCCTAATAAGAAGGCCAGCACAAGATTGATTGATAAAGTGTCCTCTCCGCCGTTGATCATAACGACAAGTTGCAGGAACAATTCGGTCCCTGTGCGGTTCAATCCACATTCCCCCACGACGGCGACGGAAGCGTTAACTCCATCCTCACTTCCAAGGCAAGCGGTCACGATTTGCGACCACGAGGTTCTCCATCCACGCTTGTAGGCTCGGTAGCCTTTCTTCCAAACCCCTATTACTGTTGGTTGATATCTCTATAGCCAAGATCTATCATGCCACTTACGCTGCGAGACACCTAGTTGGTAGCACGCAGATCCTATAACTTTCATATGTTAGGTATGTACTTGTACTTGAGATTTGATGCCTTAATAACCTGTCCAACTTGTGACTCCATAAGACAAGACCATCGGGGATATGGGTATCGCTTATTCATTCAATATGCTACACCTTTTACCCCAGATATTTCGTAGTGTAACAGGACAATAAACTAGGTACCTGCTGAGTAGGCTAGACATGTTCCACGCGTTCGGGAATAGAACACATGTACTTGAAACTGGTTGAGCTGTTTATTCTCCGCCATCCCGACGACGGTTCTTAGGAAACTGCTCTGACGTAGCGCAAGAGATTCGTTACAACTAGCAAATATCGTCTCGTTGACCCCTGCCCATTTCGCTACCAGCATGACTTCCCCAGGTCCAAGATGAGTTGCCAAGCGACTACTGTCCCTCAAGTTGAACGTCCTAAGCATACTCTCACCGCAACTTCGAAACATAAATCACGGTTTGCAGTGTAGCTGAGTTTGGAATAATGTCATTTATGTTACTATAAATACTAATTACTCGTCCACGTTTTGTTTGTTTCGCGACAGTGTTTCGTAAGTCACGCAGATGGTAGGGCTAGTGTTAGAAGGAAAGAGTGGAGGCGGCTTTAACCTGGCGGCGATCCACCTAGGAGGCTCTACTCTGATGATAAAGGAGCCGACCCCTGAGTTTATGTTAGAGACCGGCGTTAATGGTCTTATAATCACGCTATACATTATAATCTAGTATGAATGAAGAGTTTCTGTTCTCATTACTAGCTGCATAGGAGACGAGCTGCTCAAAACTGGACATCCAAGATATGCAAGGTTCATCAGGATAGAACGATCAGCTTGAAGTTAAGGTGTGAATGAACTAATACCTATACTTAGTTGGATTAAGAAGAAACACTATACTTGAGCTCGATAATAGAGTGGGTTGAAAAGTCAACCACCTAGTTGCCCGGTCAATTCATCTACATAGCACTCACGAGATGTATCTACAATCTCATTGCTAGCAGTTAGAGACCTCCCAGCATATTAGTGATTAGAAGCAAACTATCTACGATTCACTAGAAAACGACACATGTTACTCTAATTGCTTCCTCGCTTCTTCTCTCTCTGAGAATGAAGTACTCCTATGTAGCAGCCATATATACTTGAATGGAAGCGTCGCTAAAAGGGACAAACTTTCTCGGTTTCCATAACCGAGAAAAAAGCGGCACATACCCATTCGTCATATCGACTCGGTTATCGACGCGAGCAGTATCGAGTCTAGTTGTTTGATGTGTCTTGCAATGGAAACTTCAATACACAGTAGGTAAGCCTTTTAAATAGAAGTATGTAGGTATTCGGCTATACTCGTACACCCGGTACGAAGCTTGATGACACGATATTTATTCGTTTATTTCTAATGTTTGTCACTGTTAAAACTTCTCGAAGTACTATTTACATCAAGTACATCCTATCTATCATCCGATGAGGATATCGAGGGCCAGAAGCATGCAGTCTATGTAGTAGCTAATGTTGCTGTTGCATAGCAGCCGCGGTGTTTCAGAAGTTTGACGGTACCTGACTAAGTTATAGGAATAGCAGCTGTGTTGCTACGTTGTTACCCCAGTCGGGTTGTAGCTAGAGCCTCTTAGAGGGACTGTAGCATTTATCGGCCGAACGTGAGGTTAACTGCCGGTAATTGTGGAACATGGTCGAGACCAAGGCCGCGTATATCGAAGATGGGATGCAAATCCTCGGCATTGGTAAATTGCGAGTTTGGTCGTCCATGAGGCCGCTCGGGTGCCATGTGGTAATCCACGGAGATATCAAAGTCAACTCCCAGCTTCCGTCGCATAGGAGTAACTTTACTCCCGTCCGGCTGTACAAATGGATGTGTAAATGGGTTGAAATAAGTATCAATGATAGGGATATATCAACTTGGGTATCCTCTTAATCGACATTTCTTCGGTAATGTATATTACACTTTTCTTATCTGGTCAATCCATAAAAAAGAAGGTATGCTGAGTTATCTCGTCAATCTCACCAATTGGCGTGGACGTAACATGGGTGACAAATTGCTGAGGCAGGTTGATGTGGCACTTTGGGCGAGCGGCCTCTCAACTTATTATAGGTCGTTGATAGGCACTTCTTCTGTCGATTCACGATGCCAAGAAACGGTATCCCTAGATTCCGAGAGGCTGTGAGGATGAAGAAAATATGGGGTAATTTTCCGGATGCAGGCGGTCTAGAGGCCGCCTTCCTCGCCGGGGCTGTGCGGAGGACCGGCGAATCAGAGACGCTGTTGATTTCTATTTCCGGATACACCTTCCCGGCGTACATGCGATCCGATTTTAAGCGCCCGGCGTTAGTATAGGGCTTGGGGGCTGTCAGCTCCATTTTGTTTCGAAACAGCCGCCGACATGTTTGTCCTATCGTTGCTGGCCAGCGATTTCATTAATATACCCAACCCATATGATAATAATAGTCTCGCCAGTTGCGTTTCTCCAATCACCGCACTTACCAATCGTTATATTCCGATTTTCTATATAGTAGAGCACGGGTAAAGACTATCCGGTGGGATTTTCTTGCATTTTACTGAGCCTATCTACATCACAAATAGACCTCTGTTGGCTCGAGGACAGGAACCGTGAGTTGTCAAAGTGGACAAGCCGCAATCATGTGGTACGAAATATTTTAGGTAGAAATGCGATTCCAAGGTCGCTGCGTGACCTGACTCTCATGTGTCTAACAAACATGAATATATTGATAACCGAACTAGGTATCTATATATAACGTACCTACCTAGCTGTCGTTTGGTAAGGGATAACCTTCAGAAGTTCAGGCTCAGTTCACCTTTCTATATAAAGATAATGAGCATATATCCCAAATCCAAGCAATAGAAACGTGAAGTCATCAACAAGCATACCCACTCACACACATACACACGCTTTCAAGTCACATTCTACTCTACCCCTTTCCTACACAATGAAGACCACTTCATTCTTCTCCCCCCTATCCACCATCCTCCTCCTCGGAGCGATCTATCCAACTTATGCCGCGGTCCTCCCTCGCGACGATGCCTCCACGATCACCAACTTCGGCAGGATAGGAATCTGCATGTCCTACCTCGGGGCCGGTCCCTTAGACAAGGAGCTCGCTCCGTGCAAGACCTGGTGTCCCACGCAAAACGCGAACCAAGATCCTAACGCCGTCGGAGTATGTAGCCATCATCCTCTACATTCCCTACCTATGTTATCCCTTTACATGAGATCATCAGGCTAACAAGACTCTGAACTACAGTGCCAAGGCCCCAACATACCACAAGACCAACTCGACCCAAGCACAATCGAAAAAGACGACGACGGGAACCTCTGGACATCCGGCACCTGCGTGTGCGACCTACCGCTCGCCGGCGCGATCATCGACGTCGTCATCCAGGGTCTATCCAAGCTCGACAACGTCATCTGCGCCGTGATGCTCTCAGCGGTCGTCACCCTCGTCGAAGAAGGCATCGACAAGGTTCCCGGCGGCTCATCCGTCCAAGCAGTCCAGAAAGCCGTCGAAGGCGCCAAGACGTTTATCGAGAACGGGCTTGATGCCGTTTCGTTCTTTGGAGACTGGATTGGCAAGAGCTGTGGCGTTTCGGATTTTAATTTCAATCTGGACGATATCTTCGATGGGTTAAGTGGAGAACCGGACTCCCTGGGTGAGAGTAAGGGGTGCTTTAAGGCAAACAAGATGTGCACGAAGCCCTAGATATTTTGGGTTAAGTTTGGCGATATGGATAGATTTATGGGATTTCTGGGTAGAGCATTGGTGGGGCATGGTTCGGAATTGGTTGCATCTAGGGATAGGAGCATTTGAGGCAAGGCATCTTTGGCATAGGGACGGAGTTTAGCGATACTGGGTGTGTTCAGTCGTTGCATGTTTGAATATTTAGATTAAATAGGAGGATACCTACCTAGGTATTGAAACTACCATGGGCCTTCATATGGGCCATCTCAATCGTTATGTTGATGACTTTAGGGGTTATGTTCAACTTAGAATAGACATAGTCAGCAATTCATTCGCTAACTGCACATCAAAGAGAGTAAATAAAGAAACTGAAGTCAATTTCTAGGAGAATTGAATATATTATGCCCAAGGCCCTAAATTAAGTAAGGAGCGTATAGAGATACTAGGGCAGATATTAAAGGGGCTATGTAGGGGTATGTATCATGTATCAAGGTACCCAAGAATTGGCCAGTAGAGATAACCGAATTTTTGACATCATCCACTTCCGCATCAAGACAGATAACTATAGGTAGACCCTCTTAACAGTCACGAGCTGGCAGCTCGGGTTCTGCGGCTCCTTGTTGCCCATCACGTACTGAAGGGCGGTGTATCCATAGCTCTGCCAGTAGGTCACACAGATAGCCCAGCGGTCCGTCAAATACTCGACGTTGTTCTCGAACGGCTTCGGCGGGGAGACTGCATCATTGACGTTCGCGCCCACGGCCAGGAGTCCCTCGTCCGTGAAGGACACTGGCTGCGCGTTGTCGGCAGAGGGCCAGATCAAGGGGAACGCGAGGTTCGACGCCGCGTTGTAGAAGAACTGCATCGCCGTGTTCGAGGTGAATTCAGGCACACCGCCGGTAAATGTCCAGGTGATTAAGCCGGAGGGCAGGAAGCCCGGAGACGTGGTCTCTTGCGCTGTACCGTTGAAGTAGAAGGTCTGGAATTGGGGTGTCGTGATTGAGGAGTCGAGGCACAAGGACTCGACCGCTGCTCCCGAGTGGCAGGCGGATAGCTTCTGTCCGTTGAGAGTGCTGTTCGAGCTCGAGATGACGAGGTTGAATGGCGCGGATTGGTTCGGGTAGTTGCCTTGGGCTGAGGCGAGGCCGAAGGCCGTTGCGAGGATGGGGAGAAGGCGCGTCATGTTTGCGGTGAGCGGGTGGGCGATAAGTTGATGTTGGTGGTTGGTAAGAGGCTTCGATGTCCTGTTTTCTTTGTTGGTGAACTAGAGGTAATTATTGTGATACCACAGGGGACATCTTAGCTTTATATCTATTTTCATTTTCTCGTCATTTGGTCATTGACCAGGCTCCGTTTTCCACATCTTCCCATTACTACCCCTTCGGACATTACCTAGCTACAATACAGTTATTAGAATACGAGATTCAAATGCATCATGTAACATCTGGAGATCGAGCGGGCGTAAGTACCATTGGTCACCTGGCCGTGAAAAGCATGCCTGTTCGGGACTCATGCTGCGCCTGGGCTGCATACAACCCCCCTATCTGGTAATTCAAATAGCCTCAATTTTCTTCAACAACACACGGAAAAGCCTATGATGATTAATACGAGAGGTATCATCAGATTCTACTATGGTTTTGAATTCTTATTTTTGTTCTGTGATTATTATTTTCATGTTCGATACGAGAATGCTGACTGAGGGACGTGAAATGAATGACGATGCGGCTGACGTCCTGTCATCCTTGAACACCCAAGTAGGGAGGTGGGTATTAAAGGGTGCATATTATGGAAATATATTCACCGCTGGAGAATCAGCTTCTATGAAGACTATACTACCAACTGTCGCTGTCTTGCACGAAATGCAAATGGAAAGTGTAGGTGCTTAGGAGGCAGGCAAACTACTATATATGAGATACTAATAGGTACATGGCCTAAGGTATAGAGATGGTTCGTACTATAAAACGAAAATGCACCCAACTTAACTAAAGAGCTAGAAACCAAGGAGAAGAATAAGGTCCAGGAAGCTTCCCTCGAGCTTTATTTCCTATTCCGTCAATGATTATAGGTAAGTAATAGGCTTTTCCCTTTGCACCCCTATTCTTATTCCTTCCAATGCTAGGATCGACGACAAAAACCTAAGCAGTATCCTCATAACGACATCTCACAAAACTCCATCCCCGGAAATTAATATTGCCAAAGGATTGATCAACGAACAAATTCCTCGGTAGTTTTCCGGTCGGCTGCCGCGGAAGTTTTGGCGGAACGCCTTCGGGGCAATTTTTGAACGCCCACGCCATCCCCGCAGAGGTGGTAGACCAAGTCTTCTGGAATTTGTCGCTGGGTGCACCAATGTCCGCCCAGAGTAAGGCCTGTGGGCTTTTGAGAAACCACAAACCTTCTGTGTCAAGCCATTGTAACCCCTGCTGGCTCTCGAGCCATGGGTGCCCGAGGGCTGACGCCAGCCACCACCAACCAGACTCGGAAGCGAGGAACTCGGAACCTTTGGAATCAAGCCACTTGTGCCCCTCTTCCGTTGCCAACCACCTCGATATCGTATTCGTCTTGTCATGGAAAGGATATGAGAGCCATTGCCTGCCATCTGGAGACTCCAACCAAGCGTGCTGTCTCTGTCGTCTCCTGACTATAGTCCTCGACCAAGCCTTCGTGATATCACCCATCATATAATTCTCAGATGGCGAATAACCCTCTCCGGCCGGGTATATTTCCGCAAGCTTACCCATCTCTTTATTGACGTTTTCCACTCGGTAAGCTCTGATAACGCCCATTTTATCGGGCTTAACGTCCTTTCGGAGCTCACCCAGGACGATTACGAGATCCTCAACTCGGGAACCTCTAGCTAACACGAAGTCCGCACCCTCTTCTCCGTCCTCTGTACGGTTTATGCGTTCGAATAGATCTTCCATCCTGAAGACAGCATATCTGGTATCGGCCATTGAGTACGGTAAAGCCCCACCCGGGTCCTGGAAGTCCGTGATCCCTTTCCCGTCGAAGAAAACCCAATCGGAAGACATCTTTACCGAAGAAATCATATTTTTTTCATTCATTAAGATCGAGAAGCGGTTAACCGAGGGCTTAACTCGTCTTAGAGGATTTAAGTTGAGGAAACTCCTCTTGAATAGGCCGAATTGGTCGCTCCGGATCAGGCCTTGTCGGAATACATGGGATTGGTACCATTCTCTATTGATGTAGACCTCTCGACTACTTCCATCGAACGCTACTAGTTGTCCATCTTCTAGTGTTATATGGACCCAGCCAGGCGACGATTGAACCATCTCGAAGATCTTACGTTTGATGCCATAGGGTAGGTCGTTGAATGATAACTCCTCTGTTTGCTGATCTGAGATGCTCGTTCTCCGGACGGCTTTCTCTAGCTTCGTTATCGCACCCGTAAAACATCGTCTGCCCGTATGTTTCGTAGGTTGCGGGTCACCAAACCGCCGGCGAACTTGTTCAACTGTAAGCATAGGGGTTTTAATATTCATCTCCACACGCGACATATTGTCAGCGTGTGGCTAAGCTGCACATAGTTCAGCTTCTCAAGAGCAATAGTAGCTATCGCAATTTAGCAAGTATGGTATTTATGTTGCTAGTATGGGAGGAAAATAAGATGAAAGTAGTAATAGGTAGTAGTTTCTTGTCGTTGTTGGGGTTATCCTTTGAAAAAAGAATAAATCTATATATGGTTTGCTGTTATGTGCTGAACTAGAGATCATGACTAGATCTATTGGGAGTATGAATATAAAATCACTCTACTGTAGGTAATTCGAGATGAATGATTCACACAGTCAACGCATGCGAGGACCTCCACAAATCACACGTGAATAAGTCCGAAGTTGAACTACGTGCACAGTGACTTAAATCACCCTCCATAACCCGAGGTGAGGTGCTCATGAATCTGCTCATAAACCCAACAGATGTGACATGGTGTTGAGTCGTATATCATTACAACTTGTTGCTGAGACTCATGACGAACAAACATCATATCTAGCCTAAACACGAGAAGTGAATCACCGATGAATAGTGAGCCCGAAGAAATTATAGCCGCGAGGTTGACAGAATCGTCTCATCTTCTAGAAAACGAAGTTGTTATGCGTCGCCAGCAATCATGCAGCATGTACGCCCTATCCCATTCGTAGAATGCGTTACAAGAATAGAAGCCCAAAATAATAGTACTGGGGTATACCCTCCTCAAGCTAACGCCGTAGCCATAGCCATTTCCCTAAGTTCCTCATCGTAATAATTGTCATTGCGTCATAGTAGCCCCCCGAATCGAATAAATATGCTGTCGTTACCAGCAAACCCCCAGTAGCCCATCTGCCCCCCTGCACGATGTCGTTGGATAAACCTCTCCAACCCCTCTTTGAACCCGATATTAGCAACCCACTTGAAGTCGATATCACTTCTTATGCCTTGTTTGAAACCCCATCTTTAATTCATGACTTCTTCCCCTTTGGGGACTTAAGCATTGTCTGCTTATCGTTCATTCCTATCCATTTTTAGCGACCCATACATATACCCACATGACCGCGTTGAAAAAGCCAAGGAGTATATTGTCTCATCGGACTACGCCAACCCTACCTTCCTCTAAGTGCCTGCGCTTCACCATCAAGTTTTCCGAGAAGTCGGAGGATTCACGATCCTCCGAGAAACTCATATTCATGACATCGGAAAAGATGCGTCTTTTGCGCTTCGAGGACTCTAGTACGTGAGGCCGAGCAAGTAACTCGTTTCCCCGACTGCGCTTCTGGGCAGTGGTTGATAACTCCTTCTCAAGACTCTTATCAAGACCGTCGATGCTATCTTGGGAATCGAATTGAATATCTTCAGGAGAAGATGATGGGTCACTCTGGTAAGTCTCGATGTTGTCCATGTCGATTTCGCCAACCAAGTCTTGGCCGAGAGCTTGTCCCAGGCGTTCCTTCAGACCTAGAATTGGCCAAACCGGGACTCTCTGGTAGTGAATAGTGATTCTCGCATCTCCTCGGGGTGCCTTGCTAAGGTCGTCAAACATGCCGAGAAATGCTCCCGGCATGATGCTCTTGTAGACGATGAGTGTTTGGTCTTGCTCGGAAACTGCCAAGACACGAGTTTCAACATCTTCAGACTTAAACCCAGACCCCGTGTAGAAATTTAGATACACGTGACGTTGAGCCATTGCTAGCATGATAGCAAGAATATACTGGTCTTCATCAGGATTCTTGGGGACCAACTTTGACGTGTGAATCTTGTGTAAACTGTGGATAGGCACGTTTAAGGACCCGTCGGGTAACGGACGGACTCGGAAGCAGCTCTTTCTAGCGAAGTTTATGGTATGAAGATCGAGAAATGCTAATGCCGGGCTATGCATCGGAGTCCGACCTACCGAGGGTTCCTGAACACCTGAGGTGCATGTTGTGGCAGAGTTGAAGGAAAATGGACCTTGCAATTTCTTCCACGCAGCTTGACAACGCACACTGCCTAAAAGGCGACCGCCTCCGCATCTGATGTTAAGGTCTGGGTTTACCGCGGATAATTTTCCAGGATATAATAATGTTAACAGGCTCTGGATAGATTTATCTGTCGGCTGCTTAGATTGAAACGGATCCATCAGGTTGTTGAGGGTTCTTCGAATAGACACTACTAAGTCGGATGTCTCAGGTTGTGATGGTGATTGGGATGGTCCTGGTGTTGGTGTAGGTGTAGTTTGGGAAGGCTGTGGTACAAATTGACAGCCGAGCAATTGTGTGTGTAGATCTGTCCAACCGAGCGGCGAGACGTAGAGGGCTTTGGTTGCATGGTCGTGAAGAATATCGTAAAGAGATCCGACTTCAGGTCTTGTTATTCTGCGAATACGCCGCTTGCGTTTTGTCTTGGTCTCCGTCCACTCCATCGTGTGCGACATGCTCGACGATACGATGGTTTGAAATTAATGCTTCGTGAACTGTGAAATAAAATGTTAGCGAGGAATAAATAAATGAGGGGTATGCATAGCTATTATGTATAGCTATTATGCATGCAGCATAGAGGTACTTACATGATTAATCCATGGACATACCGGTTTAATGTATGGCGTTTTGGCTGTAGTGTAATGTGCCTTTGAACTCTTGCAGGAATACGATGGGATACGATGCGACCGGTTTTGCGATAATGCAAAAGCGATGCGCTACTGAATTTTAATCGATTCAAATCGACCCTAAGCCGATTTAGGAAATACGTTTAGAAGATAGAAGATTAAATTTTTTAGTATCGCGAATATGCGAAGGCTTGAAGAGTGATGGGTGGAATATGGGAGAAGATGCGACAGTTGTGATACTACTGGGCGGTTAAGGGAATGATGGGAATGGATGAAAGTGATTGCAGCTAAAAGACGCGACGCGAGAGGGGTTTAAGCTCTTTAGCTGCCAAACAAAGCGTGGGCTGCCCTTTCAATTTGAATGCGGCCAGCTTCGCGGTCTCACGAATTCAGGTGACCTTGTGCGCTCCTCAATAAGGTTAGGGTTAGGCATCCAACCCCGTTTGTATCCGGCTATGGACCCGCACGGTACCATGGCTCAGCCAATCAACGTTTGTATTTTTAAACTTCGTGACAACTCACTTCCAAGACGGACAGCTCGATAGAGTGGATGCAAGTCATCGCTAACCGAATTCCGATTGGCGTCATGTCATCTATCTTTAGCCAGGTTGTACCTAGTACGTACTAAGTACACAGTTAGCGGCATTTAAAATGAGCAATTTAAAACTGTACGGAGTATCTTGACGTGTACCTTAGGTACCCTTTTATTATGTAATGATAATGCATTATGCCGATATTTACCCGTACTCAGCGAAGAAAGTGACGTCTCAGGAATCCAAGTTTCTCACTAACAATTTAGAAACATCAGCCTCAGTTACGTGGGTACCATGCACGTCTGAGCCTCGCGAGCCCCTCTAGAAATCCAGCCAGGCACGATACGTATTTCCAAGCTCTCCATCACCAAACTCCTTGTCACCGCAGCATTGTCGAGCTATCACCGACTCTTCTCGGTGTATCTTTGACAAGATGCCGGTACGCGTGCATTCCACACCACCTTTGACAATGCATCTCTCTTACCCCTGAGATCTTCCCACCACCCAATGTCTCTCCAAAGCCAAACTATCCTCGAGCTCCAAGTTACTAACAAAATCTAGGCCTACAACTCTATGTTCAACAACGACCCCAACATCCCCCGTCTCGTCGGCAACGTCCCCCTCCTCCCTCTCCGCACTAAGACCCGTGGCCCAGCCTACGTGCTCCCGCAGCCCAACCCGCCGCTGCCCGCGAACGAAAGCCCGGACCCGGATGCAGAATCATACGACGTGCTAGACGAAGTCCTCTCTCTCTTCCGCGCCAACACCTTCTTCCGCAACTTCGAGATCCAGGGCCCCGCCGACCGTCTCCTCATTTACGGCATCCTCTTCGTCAGCGAGTGTCTCGGCAAGATTCGCCCCCAGCACTCCCTGAGGGATGCTACCAAGGAGGTTTTGAATACCGCCTTAGATCTTAACTTCGCTATCCCCGGTGACCCTGCATTCCCGCTCAACCAGGTACGTGTTTTTATCATCCTTCCGTCTACATCTGTTATCTCGATACAGTTTAAACTAACCGAATACACAGATCTACGAACCCCCTCGAGACCGACAGGACGCCGAGCAACTACGGCAGTATCTATCGCAAGTGCGGCAAGAGCTCGCGGCACGGTTATTAGCCAGGGTCTACGACGAGGATGGAGACGGGAAGCCGAGCAAATGGTGGTTGAGTTTCACGAAGAGAAAGTTTATGGGCAAGGCCTTGTAAAACGGAAGCGAATCCTCTACGGTAAAATAAGAATTATGGAATTGTCGCCCAAGATGAAACAAGAGCACTAAATTTATGCGGAATTTGAATGTCGATTGAGAATTGCATGTTACGGGGGTATCCTATCTATACCATGTCTATGGATGCGGCCAGAGTGACTGGGTTGGAGCTGGCCATGCTAGAGAGCTATACCTTATGTCCTATAAAATCAGGCTCTCTAACGCCGATGAATGCAGTTTTCACTTCTACCACACTAAAACCTCTATTCTTTGGTTGTCTCGTCCAGTTTTCTCTTCCTGGTACGAGCTTTGCCCCTAGCTTCTACCTTGCCTTCAGCGGGCTTGACTTTCCAAGCCGTGAAGACGTATCCTTCCGCCCCTCCTCTACTCGTCATTAGGGGGTGTGTTCGACTAGGCAGGACCTGCCATTTTCTGACACGGCTTGTCTGCAAAGTAGCTCCTAATACGAGGGACGGGTTTAACGGGAATTCTTCATTCCCAGGCCAGTGCTCCAGCTCTTCCGGAGTCTTACCGACAATCTCGTCCGGTGGGGTCGCTACCCAAGCACCACGACGCGCTATGCTGTAGCAATCAGCTAAAGCGGTGAGAGGTTCAATTGACTGCGAATAAATGGCGATCGGTGCGCCGCCAGCAAGGAGTGGCACAGCGTAGCGCATTATTGAGATAGGGTCCATTGTGCTGGCAACTACTAACCCAGAGAACTCGCCCTTCCGCGTGGTATCGACAATGTGGCGGATCTTGGCACAGCGTCGACGCTTACGGTAATAATTACCCCGGCGGTTAGGTTTCCACGTGCGGAGAATCTCAGGCGCGACATGAGCAAACTCAGCGGTGTATGTAGGATCTAGCTCGGGTTCAACGAGCTGCAGCCATGAGATAGTCATTAGGTGAGAGGCCAAGGGATGATCCTGAGTTTGTGCTGGATTTGTACTGTCGAAGCCATATTCGCGTAGGAAGGATAGGTTAGGTTGTTGATTCGCATGAATAACGGTAAGGGTGTTAGAGTGTGCAAAAGATGTTTTCATGTTGTCGACCCGTGGCTTGCCGTCTCCATGGGATGGTCTTATCGCTATCTGAGGGGATGAGGTTGATTCTGCGGTATCCCTAGCCTGAGCTGTAGTCTCCACACCGTGATTTCCATGTTCGCCGTCTTTATCTAACGGAAGATCTGTACATTTCGTTATAGATTCTTGGTGACTCGAATGCTCTCTCTGATGGTCGCTTGCCGACGTTGTTTCATTACCATTATTCGTAGACTCGTTTTCGGGTTGGTAGAGTATACCCATTCGCTCTGCCATTGCTGCCACCAAAAGACCACCTGTGTCATCTACAGCAAGCCATCGGCCAGGTGTGTCTTCGAGATCATCTTGTTCGTGGTTTGGGTCTTGGGACTCTTGGATGCCTTCGTTTTCGCATCGATCCTCTCCACTAAAATGCACATTGCCCCAACATCCTACCAGTGCTATCATCTCATCCCTCATATCCAAGATTTTAGTTGAGTCCTTCACTTCCAATTGCCAATAGGTTAGCATAGGCACATCCATAGGCACTACGCAGAACCTTCTTATGTATTTCTTCGTCTTGAGGATCTTGTACTTAGCCAAAGCATATTCTGTCTTCTGGTCGATGGCCGTATGCGAAAGCAGTAGCTTTGCTATTATATCCCTGCCCGCATCGGTACCATCTTTCTTTAAGGCTTCGATCTCCTCCGCACTCAATGTCTGGCGCGCCTCGGCATTGAGTTCCGCACGATTGGTCCGAGCGACAACGGTACCAGAATCGGGATCCACGAGCGAGTACTCTATACCCGCCGGAAGCGAAGCTTCGGCATCTTCATCGTCATTTATTATGGGGGGTTCTCCTTCGGGAGAGCTGGCTGATGTATCGGATGCTAAGATATCGCTGTATAGTTCAGAGGCGGGTACAATGCGCAGCCGATTAAAGTTCTCCTCCGGTCGTTTATCTTGTAGTTCGTATGTGAGATGGAATGGTCTGTGTATTATTAGATTACTCGGAAATGATCCATATTTTCCCAAAGAAATAGTGCTGTAGGATGAATGCTGTTAGTAAATGTGAAATCGAGATTTTCTTAACAAGATACCTACTAGGTAGTAGGTACAGGTAGACAAAAACATACGTATTTGGAGTAACTTGAAGAACTCGAAGATTGCCGGAAGGAAGCTTGAGAGCAACCCAAGCATTTGGTTGAACCAAAGAGTGCATCTCGGGGGACTGGAAACCTCAAGGTGAAATATGAATAAAGAAAAAAGTCGAGAAGAAAATCGAGATCGTGCTAAAAGTTAATTGATCTCAGGCTGCAGATTTGCAACTGTAACCCCACTGTGGGGTCAATCTGCGTGGGGGAGGAGCGACCGACATGAACCCCCTGTACTTGCCATAGATCGGATCGATTTGGATAAAAATAACTTCACCATGAAAGTATTTTAAGCTTCAAATGTTAAGCTAACGTTCTAAATAATATCGTACTGCTTATGTGATTTCAATTTATATAGGTTATCTTGATGTTAATTCTAAAAGAATATAGAAAGCCCTTCAGTCTTGTTTTAACAACCTAACTCTCCGAATCAAACCAAATTTCTCAAACAAAAGACGCTTGAATTCACATCCATATTCAGACTCCAGAGGTATCAACTGCTAAAACTACAAGATACGCCAAATACATATAAAAAGGAGTAGCCGCCGACCAAGTCTATCTTCAATATAACAAAGGAAATCCGAAAAGTATATGCGCTAGCGACTGACTGTCTCGCAATATGACTAATGATCGTAGATATTTCCGAGCTTACTTCTTCCCATTAAGTTTGCCCTCGTTCTGCTCCCGCCTGGCTAACTCGCTACCTGGCATTCTACCGAATTGCCACTCAGGAAGCGTGATGCCTGTTTGGTCATGAATGGTCGACATGAGTGGGGGAAGCAGCTGGTAAACCTAAGTAATATCTGGTATTAGAATATTGCACTAATGTCATATTTTTAAATAGGTGCCTTTAGATATTAACTTACATTTCTCATCGTTGAGGCGGTGTCTTGGCCTTGACCGCCAGCTCCAGAAGATCCGGCTTCAGCGCCTGTATTCCAGACGCTAATCTTAGGCTGCATGCCGTTGACGGCGGTGGCGTTGGCCTTAGCAAGCTCAACGTATGTGCCCTTCTCAATCATCACTGCAGGGATAAGAGTTAGCAATTAATTCTTGACATAACAGTGGTGATTTAATAGTAGAAGGTACTTACTGTATTGTAGGAGGCCAGAAGGACCGCCAAATGCTTCACTCATTCTAGCGTAAGCATTGGCCATGGCCATCATACCCTCAGCCTCTTTCAGCTTCTTCTGCAAGTTAGCTTCGGCATTCTTAATCGCCGCATCACTCCAAGCCTCAGCATCCATCTTGGTCTTGTAGGCTGATGCGTCGGTGTTCTTCGTAGTCCTGTTATAATCGGCAGCGGCTTGCGTCTCGGCGTCGACTTTGGTCTTGTAAGCCGAGGCACGTGCCTCGGCTTCCACCTCGTATGCCTTCGCATCGGCGGCTTGTTGTTTGCTCTCACGAGCGATAGCGGCCTTAACGACATCGACGGCACGAAGACGCTCGAGCTCGGCGGCGGCACGCTTCACCTGCACCTCTTTCTTCAGATCCTCATCCCTCGACTCAGTGGCACGGGTAGCCTGAATCCTTGCGATTTCAACATCTCGGCTAAGAACTGTCTTTTGAGTAGCAAGGTTGGCCTCGGCAGCAGCTCGCTCAACATCACGATCCGTCTTCTGGACAGCAGTTTCCGCATTACTTTGTAAAAACCAGGAGTTAGCTTTGATCGCCAAGAAGCGGGGATATTCGTGTAACAAGATGAAAGAATTCAGGTTGAACTTACATTTTGGCAATCGATCGTTCCTGCTGACCATGTCTTTCTGCCTCACCAACATTACCGCGAAGTTGGGCTTCTGCAACATCGATACGGGCTTGGTTGGTAGCGCCTTCATGAGCTTTCTGGGAGAGGGATTGGAAGTAAGTGGAGCCGACAGCATCCTTTAATTCCTTGACGTTGGCATTATAAATCTTGAGACCAAATTGGTCTAGCTCGCCCTGGATGTTACGGAAGATCCGTCTCTTGAATTCCTCACGTTCAGTGAATATTTCTTCCATAGTCATGGAAGAAACCAAAACTCGAGTCTCGCCTTCGATGATACCCTTCACGATGTTTTCGAGGTGCTGAGTGCCTTGCTTATTGGCTGTGGAATCGGCCAATAACATGGCATACTTCATTAAAGAATCACCACGGTCTTCGTCATTGCTGTGATTATGTCCAGTTCGATCTCCGTGGGCATCTGCGGCGGGCCTAGGGCCTTTCGCATTGGCTCCTCGATTGTTGACATCTCTATTTTCATGTTATTAACCTCTATACCGTCATCTTGCAAGGGTGGACAACAAGCACATACGGGCCAATAGTGAAAATAACCGGAAGAAGGAACTGAAGCTTCTCCTTTGTCATGGCTACGTAGAGAGGTTAGATATATTCGACAATAGTTGGGGTTTGAAATACCCTGAAGGTTCATAGCATAATCGTGGGGTTGAACCGAGAAGCGTGTGCATCTCTGGAAGGGTAGCACCCATGCAGCTTTGGTGATGTGAACATTCTTGATGTTCATGCCAGTGATGGCAAGGTACTCATCGGGAGCAGCAACTCTGTACGACATCGTGATATAATTTCTACCAAAGTAGATGACTATATCAAATGTTGGTGATGGGAGATGAGTTTTCAAGTACGACCTTATAGATTCAGGAGTTACAACACCTAAAAGATAAAAAGGGAGAGGAGATAAATAGGTGGATAGGATATGTAAAGGTAGGTAGATATAGTTGTAATGAACTATCTGACACTTGTGTGGCGGAAGAATAACAGAAGGCAAAAATAATACAGTTCAATATCTAGGTCAGACTGGTCAGATTAAATAAGAGGTTACCGGAGGCTGAAGTCAAGCCAAGAGAAGACAAGCCAAGGTTGAAACTAATAAATAGAGGATCTTGGGATGACTACTAGTTGAAGTTAGGGAGAAGGTTAGGCATATCCTGTAAAGTCCTATCTTAATTAGGACGTATTTTATCGAAGCTGCCTACCTAGCACCCAGTGAATTGGTAATGTGTTATGTAGAATACTTGTCTATTACTCAACCCCGTGTTCCCGTATCCTTCCACATACACAGAAAGTGTCGTTGTCGTTGTATAGCAGTTGACTACTAGTTAGGTACCTAAGGGCTTGGCCCCTCTCAGTGACTCGATAATCTGATGCTTAATCTCCTGACCGAGGAGGTTTCCCCAAGAGCCCTAGAACGCGAGGCATACTGCAATGTTACCCTCTAGACATGAAGAAGTCTTAACTAAATGCATCAAGGGATTATCCAGGGATGCGAAGGGATTCATCACGAAAATAAGGCATAGAAATCGGGCGAAGCTCCGCCCTGTTTGTCTTGTGTATCATTGAAGCAGGAGGGTCATGAGTCCGACCGATGAATCGATGCGATGATCCGAGATCTGACGTGTTACTTTACAAATGGACCCCATTTTTCTAGAAGCTTTCCTCAATTCACTTTTAGCACTAGCGACCCCACTGAGCCCACTAAAGCTGAAGCTCAGCTCGCTAACTCTAACGCTGGAAGCTGCCCTGTGCGGGAACTACTATGCAGTAACCTACCGCCTAATACATCCATGAATCCAATGTATGGGGAATTCCCTTTGTGTTACCGGAGGCGGAGGCTGTAGACTTCCCTAGCTCAAGCTCTAAATCTCTTAGCTATATCGCTTCCAACGCTAGCTAGCTTGAACCTTTCATCGTCTTAACAACTTCCTCTCTATTCATCAAACACGTGTTGGATTTACGGTTCCTCTTGGAGAATGTGATCTGATGCCTGTCATTTCCAAGCTCGTCGGTGCCTAACTATGTGGCTCGGGCAGTCGTGCCGTGGCTTTTCAAATTGAAGGATTCGACTTTGGATTTGGAAGTTCGTTTAACGCCTCGGCATCACCTCTCATCCTTTCGTCATTATCGTCAATCACTGCTCGTCTTCCCGCTCCTACTCATCTACATGCGCCCGCCAGCCCGGTTGGTCCCGGTTTTTGGACGGATTCATCGATTTGCAGCCTGAAAGCAGCCCTAACGATTCCATTCCCCAGAGTCCTGCGCATCTCTACGAACCTTGCATATGCATCTTGACTTCCAAGATATGGTCATATGAATGCTCCGAATCTCGATTGTCCAATCACAAATAACGCACTTGTCGCGGAGAGGAGGGATTGATTCCAATTGACCATAGAAATCTCGAAATTCTCCATGCTTCAAAAGGGACTCGGTCAAGGATCCGTTACCCGAGGATACCATAGCGCCTAAGCTTAGTGTCGTCTAAACATTTAACCTCCTTGGCCTTATAGTTGCAAGGCTGATTTTACACCTTGAAACTTGATACGAGTATCGGTATCTGCGGCTGACCTACCTATGTGCACTAGCTGTCTCCTGACTTCGCGTGTACTGCAACAATCAGTCACTGGACGTCGGTAGCTTCGGACGGATTTGTAATTGGGTTTTTGCATCTTTGGTCCCTTCCGTCTCCCTGATTCACCTTGGATGGATTCTACTACATGTATAGTTTAAACGTGGGATGGTGCATCATTCTCCATCGTCTTACTCCCCTTACTACACTATCACCTACGCCATCCTACATGCGCCCTACTAGCCACAGGGGAAGCAAATCACGAGGTTTGCCTCATCCTAAATGACCTATTAGGTAGGTTTCAATTAAATCCTAAGGTTACTTCAAGTCGAATCCAATTATTCTTAATTACTCTAAGTAAAGCAACTCATTTGTTTCGTCATATGGGCCTCGAGCATAATTGCGACCTAACATTTAAGCTGAGCCTAGCTAAACTAACTATTATACCTTCGTTCATCCCTAGAACTCGCATAATAAAGTATTTACGACCGCAAATATCTATTCATCTATATGAGTAATACCACACTCGAGATTTATAATTAAACCGCGGCGAAAATATTGGAGATCAAGATGGATGGGAAATTATCCTTTGACGAACCTCCCCCCTATACTGCACTTCCAACAAATCACCCCATCTCAAATGAGTTCCAGTTGAACTCGTTAACTTACCACCTGCAACACCATGTATCGTCCCTCCCAGATCGTATTCGAGCGACGCAACAAGTTCGAAAAGCTGAGCAAACGTCGGGCGATGCATCCCTATTAGACCACATCGTCCCCATCGTTGAAGAGTTCTTAGCCGATTTAGGGGCTCGACATACTCCCGTTCCGCTGGCTACCCTTACTCTAATTCCAGATGTTGCGGTGCCTAAAAACGCAATGCTTAGTGGCTTGGAAGACATGAAACGGCGCGGGGAAATATGCCGTGTCTCTAGAATCTCAATGGATAAGATCAGCAAGGATTCCAAGTCTAATTCCGAGACACCCAAATCTCAAAATGTGAGCGAAGACCCGAGCTGGGCTTCGGGGCAGGAGTTTACTGGTTGGGGACGGTTTGGGGAACCGGAATCGCCAAGCGACGACACGGAGCGAAATAAGCTGCTATGGTGGCGCGATGAGGAGATGGCGCGTCGCCTAGCGACATATCTACAACCGAGAAAAGAAAAGACGGCGCCAAAAACTGTAGTGCAAGCTGTGGTAGAGCAGCGGATACCAGCGAAGAAAGAAAAGAAAAGCTGGCTTTGGGGAAAACGCGCGAGTGGTCAGACATCTGAATCTGCGCCAACACCGACGGAGACCGAGGTCAAAGTGGATAAGACACGGGAAGAAGAAAAAGGAGCTGAAATGGTTGTCACCGCTCAGGAGGTCGCGTTTCGTCAGGAGAATGAGCTTGGGATATGGGAGAGCTTTCCTGGGTGGGGTGTCGTGGTGGCTGTGAAGGTGAAGACCTGAGGCTAGCGTCTCCGTGTGTTGATAGATATGAAGATCATCGAGTCATCCACTGTTACCGTGTCCATTTTTCTAGGCATATGTTCGTGAATGCCCGAGCTCCGAGGGTTATTGTGTCGCAACGAAACGTAGGGAAAAATCAACACTTGTCGGAGTTTCCGGAGTTCCCAATCGGGCTAATCTTCGAATCTTATCAATTTATGAAAAAGCATATATCTTATATAACATGATTATATTGTAAAAATGCAGTAAATTTTACTCATTTTAAATATATAAGTTTTATATAATATATATAAAAAGTGGTGAAGTTATTAAATTATAAAAATTAAAAATATCGAAATTACGTAATTTTTCGATTTATATATTATTACGTTAGCCCATTAAGCCGGATATTTGGATTTATCGAAAAAAGTCGATTTTTTAAAAATATTTAATTTTAATTTTAATAAATTTAAGAAAATTTCGAATTATATAAAATAATTTTTTTTAATTTTATAATTTTATTAATTTAAAAGTTATTTAAATTTAAAGTTTAATTATATAATAATATATTAATTATTTTTTAATTTAATTATGTAATTTTAAAATGTAAAAAGATTTAAACTTAAATTTAAAAAAAATGGTTAATACGTTGAAAAAATTATATAATTAAATTAAAAAAAATTAATATATTAAAAAATGCATTTAATTAAATTAATAAATAAATTTAAAATTTAATAATTATTTTAAAATTATTTATATAATTAATTAAATAAATAATTTAATAATTAATTTAATAATAAATTTAATAATTAATTTTTAAATTAATTTAATAATTATAAAATTATTTATATAAAAAAATGAATAATAATTATTAAATAAAAAAAAAATTTAAAATAAAATAAAAATATAAGAAAGGATTTTTTATGTTAAATTTCAAGTTATGTATAAAATGTTTTTTTTTTTCGTATTATTTATTATATTTTATTAATTTTTTAGCTTTTTATAAAAATATTAACGTTCCGTTAATTTTTATTTTAGTTTTTTACGAGTGAGTAATAAGATTATAAAGTTATTTTTTTTAAATGACGACGGGGGAAGTATAAGTTTTAGCGTTTAAAGGGATAAAAGTTCGAGAAATCGAAACTTATTAACGTTAAAAATTATCGTAGTTTTAATAATAAATCGAATCTTTTTTTTTAATTTAGTTAAGTTTTTTTATATTGTTTTTTATAAGTTTATGGTTTTTATTTTATTAAAGTTTATAAGATTTTTTATATTTTATTTATAAATTAATTTTATAATGTTTTATAATAAAAGTTTTTTTATATACCATTAATCGTAAATAACCGAAAAACTTTTTTAACGAATTAAATATTTTAATATTATTTTACTTTTTTATTTATTAATTTATTATTATAATAATTTTTTTATTTTATATAATTATTATTTATTTATATTTTTTTTAATAATAACATGGTTAAACGTAAAAATATAACGTTTATAAAAATTTTAACTTTACGAAATTTTATATAATTAAAATATATTTATAACTTTATAAATTTTTTAATTATTAAAAATGTTTAATTTATATGTTATATTTCCGATTTTTTTCGTAATTATTAAAGGTCCGGTTTTTTAAATTTTAAATTTTTTATTTTTAACGTTTAATAATTAATATTTTTTATATAATTGTAAATATACCGTTTCGTTAATTTTAAAATTTATATTTTTATATTTTTTATTATATTAAGTTTTCGCGTTTATAATTATATAGTTAATTATTTTTTTCGCTTTTTTTTAATATTATTTCTTAATTATTTCGTAATTAAAAGCATTAGTTAAAATTTTTAATAAATTAAAAGTTATTTTTAATTTAAAATTTAAAACGATTTTATTTAACGATTTTTTAAAAATAAATAAATAAACATTATTAATATTATATTATAAAGTTAAAATAATATTAATTTATAAAATATTTATTATTATAACGTAATATTATAACGTAAGTTTAATTTTTTAATTTTTTTTTTTTAATTAACCATTTATTTAAAAATAATATGTAATGTTTATTATAAGTTTAATTTTTATTTTTGTAAAAAGAAATTACCATATATTTAATATAAATTTTAAATCGCGGTTAAATATTATTTTTATTAATATTTTTTAATTATATAATTATAATGTTTTTAATAATTATAATGTTTAATTTTTAGCTTTATATATAATATTTTTTAATATTAAAATAATTTTTTTATTAAACTTACATATAATAATAAATAAAGAATTAAAATATTTATATTTTTTTATAAATTAAAATGAAGAAATTGCTTTTATTTTCGATAAATTAATAATAAAATCTTAAATAATTATATAATACGGTATTATTAGGGAATTTATAAGGATTAATTAACTTTTTATTTTAAATTTATCCGTTTTATTTTTAATATAATCGGGATATTAGGTAATATATTTTTAAATTTTTTTCGATATATTTTATAATTAAATATATTTTAATTTATAATATATACGTTTAAAGTCGAAATGATATTTCGTATTATAAATTAAAGTTAAAAGTTTTTAAATATAATTTAATGAAATTATAAAGCGTTTTTTACCGTTTATTATAATATAATATATTAAATTATTTTTTAATTTATATCGGTATTATTAAGTTATATTTTTTTTATTTTATTTTATTTTTATTAGAATTTTTTTTATTTTTTTTAATTTTTAATTATGTTTATATTTTATTATAATTTAATTGCGAAATTTTATTAACATTTCGATTTTAAATATTGGATATATTATTTCGTTATTATTTATTATAATATTATTTGTAATATTTTTTAATATTAATTTATTTTTTTATATTTTTTTTTTAATATTTAAAATATTATGAATTATAAGTAATTTTAATAAAATATTTAATATTAAGTTAAATTTACCGGTAATATAATATATTTTTAAATTAAATTAAAATAAAAAAGTTAAAATAATAATTAATTTCGAATTTATTTTATTTATATCGGTTATTTTTAAGGATATTTAATTTATTATTTTTCGTATTAATTTATAATCGATAATTATTTTAATAATTTTCGTGTAAGATTATAAACGAATACGGTTAAAATAATATAACTAAACCAAATATATTATTTTTAATTTCGTAATATTATATCGAGATTTTACGCGTATTAAAACTTTTAAAAAATAAGCTATTAATTTTATTTTATTAATTTTTATTAATTAATCGTTTTATTTTTTATTTAAATAAAATATTATAATTTTAAATTTTATTTATTTTAAAGCGTTAATGTTTAAAAAAACTTATTAATTATATTTTTAATAATTTAAATTTATTAAATTATAAAGTTATATTTATAAAATTAAAAATAATTTTTTTTTTAATTCTATCGATTTAAATTTTATTTTTATAATATATTTTTTTCGTTTTTTTAAAAATGTTAATAATTTTTAATTTTTTTATTTTTTATTTAATAATGTAGTTTTTTTATTTTAAAACGGTTTTATTTTTTATTAATAATAAAGGATATATTTTTATAAAAAACTTATAAATTTAATATAAGTTTTAAGTTTTAATAAAATAATTAACATTTTTAATTTTCGAATTATTAAAATATAATTTTTTATAACGTTTAATTTTAAATTATTTATTATAAATTTTAATAATATAATTATTAAGTATTTTATAAATATTTTTTTAAAATTAAAAATTAAACCGGCGTTTTCGTAATAACGGAAAAGTTTTATTAAATATTATTAATATTATTTTTTTATATTTAAAAAAATAATAATATCGTTTATATAAGTTTTAGCGAATTTTTTTAATAATTTTAATAAATAATTTATATATTATTATTCGTAAATGGGAAAGTTTTTAAAACTTATTAAAACGATATTTAAAATTTCGAAACCTTAAAATAAAATTACTATTATTTTATCGCGGTTTTTTATAACAATTAAAAATTAATAATAAAATGTTATTTTATTTATTATAATAAAATATCGTTTTTTTTATATTTTTTAAATAATTTTATTTTATAACGGTAAAGGATATATATTTAATAAAATATATTTATTTAAAACTTTTAAGTTAATAATTACACGTTTTTTTTTTTTATCGTTAATTAATTTTTAAATTATAAAATACGAATAATTAAATAATATTATTTTTTTTTATTAATTTATTTTATTTTTAAAATATATAACATTAAATGTTTAATCGAAAAATTTTTTATCTTTAACTTTTAAAGAATAAATATATTTTATTTTTAACTTTTCTTTTTAATCGTTAATTATATTTATTAATATTTTATTTTTTTTAAATATTTATAATATTTTTTTATTTTTTTAATAATTATATTTATCGGTTATTTTTATAAGTTTATTTGCGAATTAGGGGTTAATAACGTAATAATAAACTTTATTTTTCGTTATAATTTTAAGGGTATTTATAAGCGTTAAGGTTTTTAAGGATAAAATATTAAGTTTCGAAAAACTTTTTTTTTTTTAAAAAAAATTTTATATAACTTTTAATTTTATTTTTTTTAATTTTAATACGATATTAATATTTTTATTTATAAAAAATTCGGCGGCGAAAATATATTAATTATTATAATTTAGTATTATATTTAAATCGTAAAAGTTAAAAACTACGGCTTATATTACGTTTATTTTTTTTTATATTATATTATAAAATATTTCGTTCTTAATTTTAATTATTATTTTAAAATACATGTTTTTTAAAATAATTATTTCGTTATTAAAATCGTTTAAAATAATAACATTTTTTATTAAAAAATAATTATAAATATTATTATAAATATTAAAATATTTTAAAATGAATAAAAAATTTCTTTTTTTTAATAAATTAAAATATTTCGTTAAAATTAATATTATTATATATTTAAGTATTATTATTTTTTTTAAGATTTTCACTTTTTTTTAAATAAAAGTGTTTTTTTTAATTATAATAAAAATTGTTACTTTTAAATATAATTTTAAAAATATATTTAATTTAAAATAATTTAAAATTATATTATGTTTATATAAGAAATTATTTCTTATAATAAAATGTATAGTAAAACCGGTTTCGTGAATTTAAATTTTAATTTAAACGCGGATTAAACATTTTCGTTTTATTTTTATTTTTTTTAATATATTAATATAAAATCGAGCTTTTTAATAAAATTTAATGTTATTTAAGTTAATTTTTCGAACGTAAAATAATTTTTTAAAGGTAAAAGTTTT